TATGTTTAAAGCCAACTATAAATCGTTATTATGGAAAATAAACAAATAATACAATCAATATAATATAATTATATAATAAAATACAAGTGTCCTGTTTTTGTATTTATTTTATTTTAGTGTAAGAAAGAATCCTGTTCTTGAACGATTTAATCAACGCTAAAAAAAAAGAAATGAAGGTATTGAATTTGCACCTCGCAGGTCAAATTTCTACAAATAAAAGATTATAGGCGTACTTTTTATTATGTATCCCATTCTCAAATTAAATATTTTTTATTTTTTCTGCACAATTCTGGAACAGCGCAGGGAAAAGTCCCTCGGCCAGTTTCCTCAGATCAAAATATAAAAAAAAGCTCGCCAGCCCCTGGAGGATTAAAAATGTAATAACTTCGTTATTAATCTTTTTTCGCTTGAATTGTCACGAGTTTTTAACTTGTGCCACAATAAAACCAAAATCATTTTAATTAGCTTACGAAACATAATTTTTTTTAAATCAGAGCGAATACAGTTTTTGTATGTCCTGTATGTCAAAGAAGGTTTTTACATAAATATATTTGATTTTCCGGCATGAGGCAGCCTACTCCTTAAGCCCGGTTTTTAATATATTTTTCTATTACCAACAATATATTGTGTTTCTTTTATAGTCAAATACTTACGGTTCAGTACTTCTCATCGGACAAAGCCCGCTTATGTGCAAAATAACATCACGTACAAAATCCATAAAATGACAAGCATAATCAAACAAAACAGTTTTGTTCCTTCGGACACGTTTCAATAGATTAGCAATTTAAAAAAAAAAAAAACTACAATTTGAACGAGCATAAAATTGTAATTTTTCAGTTTTATCAAACGTTTAATTTAATAATACTATGTTGGAAAGTTAAGCCACATATTTTTTTCAAACTTTTTAAATAAATAAACAAAACTTAAATTCAAGAGAATCGCAACCTGTATAATTTTGTGATTTTATAAAATTCACATAAACCAACAGAAAAGAAAAAACATTGCTATAGTCTCTGAAATATTTTTGTTTATGAATATTTATCAGACGTAAACTTTTGGAATTACAGAACGTTGGTTGATCTATCAGTTAAACATTATACATGAAACCTTTTGGTCCTAACGTAAAAGGTGATACTTTTTACTTGTATTATAAACATTATTATCTACAGACGTCAATTTCTTATTACTTAACCTGTTACTTGTTGGTATATACGCTAATATATTTAAGTGTTTAAAAAATTATCTAGTAAGTACAGTAATATAAATGGAACCCCATTGCCTAACATTGGCCTTGTACGCTACCTAGGACTTCACAAGACTGAAAAGACAGCAAACAAACGGACGTTACAAATTATTAAAAAGTCTACTTGACTTACCACTCTGGGTGTACTGTTGTGAAGTGTGAAACTCAACAAAGGATTCCAATCCCCAATATCTCCAAACAATTCATCCTAAACTTCTCCGTCAAATTATAAAGGCACCTTTTTACGTTTCAAATTAAAATACACTATTTATAACGACCTACACGCCTCGATTATACATGAATGTTTTCATTGCGCAAAGATTGAGGAGGTTTCAGTATGACGGAGTGTTGCCACTGGGGAATATCGCATAGTAAAGTCTCAAATGGCAAATTCAGGCAATTCAGAAAATGGCCAAGTGCTAACCAGAAACATTTAAAAAAATGTGTTGCACATAAAAGTAAAGGTGAAGTGAAGTTGGCCACAATGTACATATCACTACTTTGATCGGCTGAATGTTTACTTTTTGGGAAGGGAGTCTGTAACTTTTAACTTTTCTTTTGAGGTCTTTCAGATTATGGACTAAAAAAAAGAACGGACTTAGCCACAGTGTACATATCATTACATTAATAAGACTTTTTCTGAGGGGTTCTGGAACTTGGCCATTTTTTCACAGTTAGGTTTTTGTTGGAATATAATTTTCTCGATCAGTATATATTTGTTGCTGTGCTTTCGTCATTACTAATTGAAAATCAAGTAAAATTTATAAATAACGTATTTTTATCTGTATATTGCTGTTGGAAATAAGTAAATTCAGTTTATTAAGATTGAAAATAATCCATTAGAGTTCGTGGTCCAATTGACCAAATAACTACTTTCAATTAATTAATCTTTATGTAAGGTATTGGTTGAGATAAAAAAAGTCAGTGTAGCTTGAAGTTCGGATAGTGGTAGAGCATCGGCATATTTAACCGAAGGTCGTGAGTTCGAATCCCGCTCGTGACTCTGACTTTTTTATCTCAACCAGTACCTTACATAAAGATTAATTCATTGAAAATAATATTTAAACTTATATCAACGTTCTTCTGAAATCATTCGTCTCGGTATTCGTCTTCTAAAATTTCTCAATTTTCATTTAAAAAAAGTTATGTATGTTTAAACTGTTCTTTGTAAAAATGTAGGCTTTTGTTTTTAGTTAAAAATCGCTGTAACATTAAAACGTTTGATGTTGTGTTTCGTTATTTACTTTCTTTTTTATCACAACTGAGCGGACAATTTTTATCTTCAAAAGCCCCCTCCCCCCAAGAGAAATTCTCTTCAGGAACCATTTCACAAAGACTTAGTATTACAGTTGAACGAACTTCACCTTCAAAAACACCTCATCGGAAATTACTGTCGGACACAATCGGAACAACATGCCGAAGGCGAAGAAGGGGATTCTGAAAAAGAATGCGTCTCTGGTTTAAAAAAATTATCGCTGAGATGGAAACAGCCCTTTCTGGCCAATCGAGCATCAATAAAGGATGAAAGGTACTCTCCCTCTTGTTCGGTTATTAAATAGTTTGGTATAATAGGTATAATAGGAGTTACAGAGTTGCAGATGAGGAGTTAGCGAGGTGGAGGGGTGTAAATCAGGGTAACAAAGCCAGAGTTGGCTTCCTTTGAAGGGATCTGCCTTCGGGGTGGCGGGGGTCGGACTTGTGAAACTATGCAGATTAAAGCGCGGAGGGGGTGCGACGATATGAAATATTGTTTAGTACAGAGGATAAAGGGCGGCAAACTCTTGATATTACATTGTTGAGTAAAAGCGGTTACGACTCTTAACCCTTGGCAACCACCCTTAAAGGAAAAAGGGTGGTCACGTGTGGGCCCAGACACAACCCCTCAAGGCGCACGTGTGGTCGTTTTAAATTCACCAGTGCTCGGTGAGCATTGGATAGTCAAATGGATAAGATCTCACGACCAATTGATTAACGGCCGTAGGAATTTTTCTTTCCTGTTCTCCAGCGAATCATTAGTAGGGTTTCCCAGTCTGTAATTTTAGTAAACGCGGTTCTCCACAATAATTTTGATACCCTATCTGATCCGAATTATGCATTACGTTCCCGGCCTTGTCACAGTCCTTGCGCTTCTGCAATTTAACATTCCTCTTTTTCTCTTTGTGTGCATAATCACATAAAATGAGAAATTCATGTGTCATTCTTGTAATAAAGTTTCAAAACGAATGCTGACGTATCATCAAATCGTTACAACCTACTAAACTCTCTAAAAACGACTCTAACTTAGGTATATTATTCGAGTAATAAAACAGACTAACCGATTACAATGAAACAAACAAAATTACGTTGTCAAAAATTTAACTAGACTAAACATATGTAACGTCTTGGTTGAGATAAAAAAGTTAGTGTCACGAGAGGGATTCGAACCCATGACTGAAAATGACATTTGAAAATGGCAAAAAAAAGGAAGGTTTGAACGGTTGTAGGTTGAGGAGAGTTAGTGCCCAAGAGGATCAAAGTCACGAAAGCTCAAGTAGTAGAGAAGCGGCGTATTTAGCCGAAGGTTCGAATCCCGCTCGTGACACCGACTATTTTATCTCAACCAAGACCTTACATGGAAAGAATAAACTATAATAAATACCTAAAACGTAAATGAATTGAAATAAATATTGTAGATTTCATGATACAAATGAAAACGGTTTGAATACTGAAAGTTGAACTTTAGCTGGAAATGTGCGGTGATTAGTGACCGTTAATCGATAATTATTGAGAAATCGTGAGATGCGGTTTGGTGTGATGTAGGTTTCAGAAAAACATTTTCTTTATCGTGCTAACGTTTCGATCTTTATTGAGATCATCTTCAGGGCCTGGGATTTACAAACATTGTTTAAATTTAACATTGTAAATCCCAGGCTCTGAAGATGATCCCAATAAAGATCGAAACGTTGGCACGATAAATAAAATGTTTTTCTGACACCTACATCACACCAAACCGCATCGCACGATTTCTGAATAATTTAGCTGGAAATTAAATAGCCTATTGACGCTTTTAGAAGAGCTTTTAGATACATATAAAATAAATTTTAAATTTTTCAAATTAGGCATTAAATTATTTTTCAACATTTCAAACTACATTCATGGAACTTTCAATGCACTTTTAAAGTTGTATTTTCTGATTCCATTATATAGCAAAATGTATGAAACGTATAAAATATCTTGATGGCATGCGGATCCTTGGAGATTTTTGTACATGAGTATTTGCATAAACTAGTATGTACTTCGTGTAAGGAGATTCATTTAAACTCTCACCACTCACTCACTCACTCACTCACTCACTCTCTCTCTCTCTCTCTCTCTCTCTCTCTCTCTCTCTCTCTCNATATATATATACCTCTTTTCTTTTTTCTCATAAAAAAACACATGAAATGTTAACAATATATCTCCCTCTATCGATATATCTATCAATTATTATCCGAAATGTTTATTTTTTGGTACGCTGTTTTTATATGCCTGCCTCAAAATTAAATCACTTCATCTTTTAACTCAAGAAAAATCTCTCTTTCTCCTGTTGAGATAGAGACATATCCGTTATCGATATCATATGAATTTAAAAAAGCTTTTAAATAACGTAATTGCGTTGAATTTTTCCCGTTCAAGTACGTCTGAATAATGAGTACATTATTAAAGCTATATTTTCACGCAGTGTTGATTGTATTTATTAAAGCGATAGTTTTTAATTAGTTCTTTATTTTTGTTTCAGATGTAACTGCTTGATCCCCTGGCTTCCGAGATAACGTCTAGTCTTCCCACCAAAAGGAGGATCGAACGACCTACATCCAAATACTGCCCAATAGAAGGTGAGACCGGAGTTTTATTATTTAAAAAAAAATCTTTTAAGAAATCCGTTTAATGATTACGGACGGTTAACGCCAAGTTGAAAAAATCCTTTAAGTAGGTGTCAAGTGTAAATAAGTGAACTTTAGAGGCTTAAAGAGGGTGATAAAAAGTGGACCCTCGTTGACAAAAAGTGAAGCACACGTGGCCCTGTGATTTTTCTGAATCCTTTCAAGATGAGCTGAGAACAAAAAAACAACATGGCTTTAATCTGGGGGTCCTTCCTAGAAAAATATGTTTCCCCTTTCACGATAGAAAACACACTGATAAAACAAGGAACACTCTATCGTGTTCGAAGCGTTGACAATAGTAAAAAAAAATCTATACGGGTAAAGGTTCATCGTTGAGGTTAAATAGCGGAAAAACTTTCCTTGCCATTCGGCAACATTTTATAATGACCAATAATCCAGTAGGGCTTTCAGCAGTATTCCCCAGACGCTGTTCCAGAAAGCTTAATGGCCGTCATGTAACGACATGCCTGAAGTAATTAAATACCTGTATTAAACTCGAGTGGTGTGGGTTGGTCCAAGACTAAATTGCCTAGGAGGTGATGGCATCTGCCCGTCACCACCCCCCAATGAGTTTTTAATGACTTAATCCTGATTGGTCAGCATCTCAATTTTGCGTTGTAGGTCAGCACATTCGTATCGTGATCGACTTTTTTTTCAGCCTCCAAGAAAAAACGGCTATACTAAAATTTCGATTAATTATGCAATCAAGCAGGAATCTCTTTATTTATTTATTTTTAACTAAAGTATTTCCATTTTTAAACGTCTTGTAAAAATCTTAAACTGAAACCTTAAGGTGAGTGATTTTTTCAACTAAATTGAAATATTTCAAAATTTTGCTTAACAATGTCATTAATAGGCATAGGAATATAGGCTAACAATTAAATTCCGATGCACTACCAACACTGAATTCATATCAATGCAAAAAAGTTTTTAGTCGTTTTGGAAACGTCATCAAGACATGACGATCGGTATTATTTATTAATTAATAATCAATACGAGTCTTGATTTATCGTCGCATGTATTTATAGACATAGGTTTGTCTACTTAGCAATTCTAAGTGATTTGAAGACAAGAAGAAGTACGAAAATAAAACAGTTTGACAATCATATATCAACATTGCAACCCAGCAAAATAATAATATAGGGGAAGCTATAAAAGGTTGTGAACTCTTAAAAGCAAAGAAACGATCGACCTGTTTATCACGACACATTAGAATTTTATTTGTCCATAAAAAATTACAGTTTACTCGCTAAACGAGATGTAATTTGTATACATATTTACCGTGAACGTTTAACATTTTTGTTGGATAAAAAGGAGTTTAAAATAGAAAAAAAAAGTTCGTCTAAGAGTAAACCAAACCACCCACCCTCTCCCGAAAGGGGGATGTTTACAACCTTTTATCTTCTCGTCGTTTCCAAAGATAAGTTCAAACGCGTTAACAGCTGAACAAATTCATATTTTCTAATGATGGTTTTTTTTTTAATCGATGGAAGAGAATATGCACGGGGGGTGTAGAAATAAAGGAAAAGGGATGGGGTTCTCGAGGTGAGAATGTGTATGCTAATGCATAAAGTTAACTGTCGTAGAGATAACTTCTCTCCCAAAGACATTTAGATTTTTAAGTTAATTAACAACTTTGAATATATGGTTTTATTCAGCATACGATTCTCAAAAATTGACATTATTAGCACAAATCTACGCACTGTTACTAGGCAAGTAACCTCATAGTCCGCCTATTCTATTATCGTGCTATATTCAGTGAATTTTTTTTTTTCTATTCCTTTCCTCATCAACGCATTCTTCCACATAGCCCACGTGTATTTAATATCATTTAGTAAATTCATTAAATTTCGTGGTCCGATTGACCAAATAACGTCTTTCAATTAATTAATCTTTATGTAAGGTATTGGTTGTGATAAAAAATCAGTGTCACGAGCGAGATTCGAACCCACGACCTTCGGCTAAATACGCCAATACGGGTTCCAATCCCGCTCGTGACACTGACTTTTTATCTCAACTAACCCTTACTTAAAGATTAATTAATTGAAAGATGTTGTTGGGTCAATCGGAAACCTAGTGAATTTAATAAGTTAAATGAAGTATACCTTCACTAAAGCTCTCCGTGGCCATTTCATTTGTCGCCGAGAATCAAATAGATTACACGATATTTGAAAAATGGCAAAAAGGAGGGAAAATTCGAAAGGTTGGGTTGTAATGGGAAGTTAGTGTCCGAGTAGATCGAAGTCAAGAGAGCTCAAGTGGTAGAGCAGCGGCGTATTTAGCCGAAGGTCATGGGTTCGAATTCCGCTCGTCACACTGACTTTTTTATCTCAACCAATACCATACATAAAGATCAATTAATTGAAAGGTATTATTTAGTAACTTATTTCTTAGAAAGAACAGATTTTTCAATAGGTTTTATTTGTATTACTTCTATTTTCCTTATGCACTGCTTGTAAATTGTATATCTACATTTTGTGTTATTGTTATTTTAATTTTAAGCTTTTAGAATATTCCCAGCTATATATTTTCTTAATGTTTACTTATTTAAAATACCAATTTTGAGTTTTCAGTGCACTAAGACGCAAAAGAATAAATTGTTTTAAATAACATCCACTTATTTTGAATCCCTGAGTAGCATATAAAAATTGCCCCATAGATAAAACGAAATTCTATTAGACTTATTAAGTGTTGACCATATCCCGCGAACTAACAAAGTTTCTCGAAGTTAACTACTGTGAAATTACGCCCTGTGGCTCGATCCATCTTAAGGTCCGTTGATTCTCGTCGTATCAGACCATATGTCACGGAATTTAAAATCCCTTATGGATAGAAATGAATATAATCAACATGCGAACGCTAAAATAAGCGACACATGGGAGACCAGGATGGTTCAGTTTTTCTATGACAAACGAAAACACCACCCAACTGTCAAATTTCGCAGGCTAACAAAGTTTCACGAAGTTAAGTGCTGTGATAGAGAACACGATCGGAAAGTCCGTCAGTTGTCGCTGCCAGTTGTCAGTGACTGTCGAAGTAGTTTAGAGTTTTGTTAATCGAAACAATTAAAACCAGCTAGATTGAAAACTGCGAATGAAAATTAGTCTCTTTTCAAATTATTCCTTACAAGCTTGTAAATAACCTAGTGTATCAACCTCTTTATACTAAGCGTTCGTTTTAGCCCAATGGTTAGAATTTGTTAGCACATAATTCTTACACGGAAGCTGAATTATTGACGACGGGATAAGAGGAGAAAGTTCAAAACAATATATATCGTACAGAGGACCTAACGGCGCCGTAGATATGAATACTAAATGAAACCACATAAAACGCCGAACGGCTTTGATCTTCCTAAAGCTCAGCCCTTTAACCTCCTTTCTCCTTGCAATTGTTAACACTTTTTAATTAATAATAAAATAAGAAAAAGAAATTCAACTGAGCTTTTTCAGTTTAGGCTAATACTAAATAATAATAATCCATATATGCATTTTGTAGTCATAATTCACCTTATTAATGATTTTAATTAATTATACTTTTTAATAACTAAGTATTACTTTTAGCTAACTTCATAAATCTGTGTTGTCTTTTAACTAGAGATAACAAATTACTGTTAAAATAACAGTTTATAAATTTGTTTAGTGTATTGTACATTACAGTTAATTTCTTTTTCGAAATCCTCTCCCTCATCTGTGGTAAGCGAGCTATGAAATCAAGCCACTGTAGCTTACCAGATTTCAGGAGGATAAAAAAATGTTTGTGAGCTGTTTTTTTTCCTCCAGTCCTTTCTGATATCGTAGGTTGACAGTGATAGATTCCGATAAATTGGACGCATCGACATTCAGTTAGATTGGAAGTGAGACAAAATTGTACAGATTTTGGGGAGAAAAATGGCGAAACGCACTCGAAGAATACTCGCATCGCATGATTTTTTTAGACCTTTACACTGAATTCAGCTCACTTCTTCTGGTGTCTTCAATTTGATCCGATAAATATTCCCATCATCAATAGTGTTATTTTATTTTGATCCCTAGCGAATAAATAATAAATTAATTGAGAAAATAGGGGAGTTTAAATAATTATTTAGTAAAAGTAGAATTTTGAGAGAAACCATCACTAAACCAAGCATAATCATAATCAACCAAAACATATTGTTAGAAATAATCTATTTTAGATTTAGAAAAAATATAAGGCTGAAAGGTAAAGTAATTCGGACTGGAAATCCCATAAATTCCATAGTTTGCCCAATTGCGTATACTTTTCATACCAATTTCATAAACTAAACAGAATTATTCACAAAGATGTTTTTTTTTCTCAAAACGTTCTGAGTACCAATAGTCCAATGTGCTATTTGGTAGTTCACAACTTACGGTGGAATTTCGTACCATTGTGGAGTTTTCCTGAGAATATTCAAGTTGAGGACAATATAGTATGGTTCAAATATGCATTCTCCAGCTTTGAGGAAGTTTCTTAATCAAGTACGTTATAGTTAGTCAATTTTAGACCAGGTGGAAGATGTTTTCTATTCTTATGTAAATTACATAAATTCTAAAGGTTGAAACTTGATCAACCAATATTTAACGTCACAATGGGCCTCCGTCTACATATTTGACCATATATTTTATGTGTCATAAATTAGATTGTCCTGGACGTAGTAAAGAAACAGTATGGAGCTTAGGATAGTTCATATGGGACAACAAGACAACCTTGTATCAGTCAATGAAAGACTACTATAAAACTATAGGTTCATCATCTCTTCGATTTCAAGAGGTATCATGTAGAATCGATTTGGTTTTCGCGGTATCTCAACTTTAAAAAAAAATTTAAAAAAGTTCTTCTTAATATGTTCAGATATTGCATTACCGAGGATTTAGAATAGGAACAGCAAAATTTTCAACACATTTCCTTGTTAGATACCGGTTAAAATTGACCTTTTCGTTGTAGTATCATGTTGA